AACATATATAGCGGTAAGTGCTAAGGGAAAAAAAAAAAAAACTTTAAAAGTCAGGATAGGACAAAAGAAAGAAACCACAGGAAATGGGTGGGGTTGAACTTGTAGACAGGGTGGCCAGGGACGGAGTCCTAGAAAGAGGTTATGTGAGCAATGACCTAAAAATGTGAGAAGCCCTGCCACACATTAGCTCTAGAGCTAGTTACTCAATTTTTCTGTTCCTCAGTGTCTTCATCTCAAAAATGGGGATAATAATAGCGGCCTGGGATCTTAGATTAGCTCCAAAGCGTGGAAAAGATTGGTATTCAGAAGCCCTGGGTAAGTATCTAATAAAACAGAGACGAAGACTGAGTTGGGGGTCAGAGAAGCTGAATAAACAGAAGTTTAGTTTTGAAGTAAGTTAATTTGGGGGGAAAAAAATCTTCAAGTTTATAAATAGGTAGCCTGCAGTTCAAGGGATGGGGCTGGAGATCACTTAATTAATCCTAAGCCTACACCCAGTATTTAAAACTGAAATAAATTAGTGTAATTATAAAAAGAGCTTGTTCTTGTTGTTTTTCTTTTTATCCTCAAATGGCTTTGTAAAACGCTGAGTTAAACAAGAGACTCAAGTTTTCTGCTATTTTTGTTGTTGTTCCTAGATATCTTGGAACTGGTGTACACGTTAACATTAGTCATGAGTCTCCAAGATAGGGACCACAGACCTCTTCAATCTCTTTGATTAGGAGTGTTTAGAAGAGTACTGTTGCATAAGACACGGTTTAGGCCATACTGAACGTGTTCTAGTACTGCCTGAAAAATCAGTTAATTCTTGCAAATCAACAGAACTTCAAAACTCACAAAATTTTCAAAATTCTACAAAACTGACTGGTTCATAGTTTCATATTCATAGTTTTGTATCCATAGAAAAGAGCTAAGCAAATTGTAGATGTGAATACTGTTTTGTAATCAATGTGATAGTTTGCTTTTGCTTTTAACAGTTTTCCTCCCAAATTATCTGCACATTGGAATCATGTGTAGAGCTTCAGAAGCAGACGGATACCTGTGTCCTACCTCCAGAAATTGTGATCTCATTGGTTTGGGCTATGGTCAGGGCATCGGAAGTTTTAAAATGTCCGCAAGTGAGTCTTATATGCAGACACTTTAGAGAATCTCTTTTGGACATCATCTATTCTCTGCCCCTTATCTATAATCTTTTTTTTTTTTTAAGATTTTATTTACGTATTTGACAGAGAGAGACACAGTGAGAGCAGGAACACAAGCAGGGGGAGTGAGAGAGGGAGAAGCAGGCTTCCCACCTAGCAGGGAGCCCCATGCAGGACTCGATCCCAGGACCCTGAGATCATGACCTGAGCCAAAGGCAGACACTTAACAACTGAGCCACCCAGAGGCCCCTCTTATCTATAATCTTTAAAAACCATTTCTTTCTTCGGTTAATTAAGGGTCCTTATTTGGATCATGAACAGGTGGCTTATTCATCAAATGTTTATATGCTTAGTATTTGTTGCCATATCATTGTGATATCATGCTGATACTACCGATTTTCAACACAAATGAATAGTGTAAGAGAAGTCTGCTTTTAAAAGGTAAGTGGAGGGCGCCTGAGTGGCTCAGATGGTTAAACCTCTGCCTTCAGCTCAGGTCATGATCCCAGGGTCCTAGGATCGAGTCCCATATCGGGCTCCCTGCTCCTTGGGGAGCCTGCTTCTCTCTCTGTCTCTCATGAATAAATAAAATCTTTAAAAAAAAAAAAAAAAGGTAAGTGGATACTTAGGTTAACTAAATTGATAAAATTCAAAAACTAAATTATTAATAACATCTTTAACTGATATAGTCTCTAAAAACATCTAAGAGTCTTCAGCCAAGATATAAAACTTTATCAGAATCAGCTAGTACCGTTTATAATCCTTTAGACTTTGGCCTTACGGGATGGCAGTGCTCATGAATACTATGCCCTTCAAGAGCCACAGAACTTCCCTGTGAAAACCCAAATGCTTTCGAGAACTGTGTGAATCTGTGATAATCAATTAAATCAGCTATTACTTATTGAACACATACCAGGCACTGCTCTCAGCACTGGGGATAGATGGGTCAAGTAAGAAATCCCTACTCTTACCAGTTTAAGATTACATTATAGTAGAGGGAGACTGATGATAACAGGTAAAACAAACAAACGAATAATATAGTTTCAGGGACTGGTGAATGATTTAAAGACAAATAAAGCAGGGTGAGGTGACAGAGAATGCTAGAAGGCAAGGCGGGGCGGGGGGGCAGTGGTTGCTAGGGTGGTCAGACACCTCTCGGAGGAGGTGACCCTTGAATCCTCGGGGTGAAGGGAGTGAGGAGACCATGGGAAGATCTGCGACAGAGTCACCTGTGCTGTGGGAGAGTCACAGCAAACATTCGATGCATGTAAGATGCAGAAGAAAGCTAGGATAACAGAGCGAGATGTAGAAAGTGAGCAATAGACGAGGTCAGAGAGGCAGGCAAGACCCAGGCAATAAACGCTAGCACCTCACAGGCCGCAGTAGGGGTTTTGTTGTTGTTGTTTGTTCCCCTTTTTTCTTGTGTTTTTTTTCCAAAGTGTTCTAGAAAGCCATCGGAGGCTTTCCCTGGAAAGCGCAACGGCCTACTTTACATTTAAAGCGATAAATTTGGGCTGATATCTGAAGAGTGTTAAATGGTAGCAGGGCAAGGGGAAAGCAGGAAGGCAGGAAAGGAGAGCCACGGTCTGGGCAAGAGCTGATGGTGGGGGAGAGAGGCCGAGTCAGATGGTGAGAACTCCCGTGCAGAAGACGGGTGGATGCGGTCAGGAAAGAGGATTTGCTAGCGGAGCCTTGCTGGGAGGACACCTAACTCATACAGACGGGGAATCAAAAAGTTACAGTCAGAAAAGTTTCAGAATCCTAGGTTAAAGCTAGAGCTAAAGCAATAATTAATGATGTTTCTTTTAAAAAAAAGATTTTATTTATTTGACAGAGAGAAACACCGCGAGTGAGGGAACACAAGCAGGGGGGAGTGGGAGAGAGGGAAGCAGGCTTCCCGCCGAGCAGGGAGCCCGATGCGGGGCTCGATCCCAGGACCCTGGGATCATGACCTGAGCCGAAGGCAGATGCTTAACGACTGAGCCACTGAGGCACCCCAATTAATGATCTTTATATAGAAATTATTTCCTATGTAACCGAGAAATACCTTCCTTTATTAAGCCATTCTCTTTTATACAGGAAAAATAGCTTTTAATAACTGAAAACCTGAGTTAGCCTGCCTTTTCTTCAATCTTAGGCTGTCTTAAAATCTTCAGGAGCCAGAATCACCAAAATGATAGCTTTCAGGAAAACTATCTGTAAGAAATTGTGATAGGCATAGCAATTTAAGGTTACCACAGTGATGAATAATTTGACCAGAAGTTATGTTTGGAGCAGTGGGAATTCTTCTGTCACTTTGGGCTACTTACCCCGATGTCCAGATTGATGATTTTTCTACTTGTAGGGGTAGGGGCGAGAGGGCTCACTCTCCTCGCCATCATGTTCTGTTATCATCCCCTAGTCTCCCCTGCCTGTTCTGTCCTGCTCCTCTCCCACACACCTCTGGATGGATCCGCATCACTCAGAGCATCTGGGGTAGGGGGGTGGGCATAGTTTGACAAGGACTCCCACCCTCGTGGTAGACGTTGTAGATGAACGTAATAATAAAGCACCTAGACTGTGGAGCCACCGTGCATTGGGTTTGAGTTCTGTCCACTAGTTATGAGCGTAGTGATTTGGTAACATCTTTCATCTTTCTAAACCTCCATGTCATGCCCTCATCTGTAAATTGTAATGATTCCTAACATCAGGTGAGGTTAATTGAGGTTTTGAATGTAAAGCACCAGACTATAGCAGATGCTGAATAAGGGATAGCAATCATAATTACAACTGCATTTCCCCCTGTATATCTTTGATTCAGTAGTTTTCATATTTTTAATATAATATTTTCAGAGCAAAGGCATTCAAATCAAACTGCCTGGATTTAAATCAAAGCTCTACCACACAGAAGCTTTGTGACCTTGGATACATTTTTGAACCTCTCTCTCTCACTTTGTTTCCTTATCCATGAACTAGTTAAAATATAGTTATCGACGCCATTGGATTTAGTGAGTATTAAGAAGCATAAGGTACAGAAAGAATACACGAAGTCATAGTACTTGGCACATATAAGTACTATTTTATGAGTCAAATACTGTAAACAAGAATCTCTCAATTCCTTATTTCAAAATTATAGTTAAAAGCTAAAGCATTTTGTCTTGATTTTCTGTTTTCTTTCTTCATAAATCTGATAAATTTGCATGATCTGAACCAGGGTGTTGTTTAAAATGAGTAGTTCATTTATTCTATCGGTCATAAAATGAGGTTTCTGTATTATCTGCTTAATTGGTCCATGTAGGTAATCATATTGGCTTATTTAGCACCTCCAAGTGAAACTCAATTATTTTGTTTGCCTGTCTGAGAAAGAGCAAACTAAAACTTTGTCAAAGTTAATTGTCAAATGTATTTTCCTTCTAAGTTGAATGTTTACTGTTTTTCCCTGACGTCTTTTTCCTGACATTTTTGTTTATCATCCTCCCTCCTCTTTTTCTTTTCATTTCTTTTGATATATCTCATTTCCAATTCTATTTCTTTTTCAGTTACTCACTGATAAAAACTTAATACTAGCAATAAGTAAAAGCTGCTGTTAAAAGTTGAAAAAGTTTAATTTTCAAATAGAACTTGCTGGGTTTTTCCATTAATCCTTGATATTATTTCCAATAGGATCATTCCCTACCATTCCCAAATTGGTAGTCTTGAGCAAATAACTGATTATTCACGGGAAAGGCTACGGTGCTGATGGTGTAAAGTGATTTATTATTGTATATTAATTATGCTGGTAACATCACTTTTGTTGTTGGCATTAATCCGGTAATAACACTAAGCTTGTTACATGAACTTTACCTTGTTTTATTAGTGGGGCTTTCTTTCGTTTTATAGCTGGCTTAAGTCCTGCTGAGATTCAGCAGTTATGGAAAGAAGTGACTGGAGTTCACAGTATGGAAGACAATGGCATTAAACATGGAGGGCTAGACCTCACTACTAACAATTCCTCCTCGACTACCTCCTCCACCACTTCCAAAGCATCACCACCAATAACCCATCATTCCATAGTGAATGGACAGTCTTCAGTCCTAAGTGCAAGGCGGGACAGGTAAATCTCATGAGATTTATTCTATATTTATCTGTCACCAACTTTTACTTCCACCATTCATAAAACTGAAGATTATGATTTGTACTTAACAAGGACAGAGTGTATAGGACAAATTAAATAGAAACCTTTAGATTATTTATCTTATATATTATTTTCATTACAGAAAACAGTTCAAATGCTTGCAGTTTGATGGATTTGGTGGGGAATTTGCCTGAAGAAAGTTATTTTTTAATAAGTACACGTGGAATTATTGTGTCAACATTATTTTTATGGCTAATATGTTGTGATGAACCAGATTGCTGAAATGAGAATATTTTACCATTTTTAAACTTAAGAACCCCTTTTGAATAATTAAAGCTGCATCCACATCCCCCCTTAGCATATGCTTTAAAACATGTGCTTAATATGTGTTTAAGAACACGTCCGTAGATATCGGAGAATCAATATACGTAAGGATATAAACACAGATGTAATAAACCAGAAGATGGAATATCTGGTTTGCCTTTTTTGTTAGTGTAGCATGATGGAATTTATAAATATATAAACATAAACTTACGGTGGTAACTGAATAAATTTGACTCAAAATTCATAAAGAAAAATTACTTGCTTTCAGTTACCAACATTGAATTATGTTAGATGATTTTCAACTTACTGTTTTACTTTAGTTGTATAAAAACTGCCCTTGCAAAAGGAGCACCCATGTACTTTTGTCCATTTACTTCCATTCATTTAAGCATAAAGCCATCTAATCAGGTTCCTTTAAAGCAATTTACATAAAATATATAAGCTAAAACATTGCTCAACATGAAAAATATCTTTTTAAGGGATGAAACATAAGTTCAGGATTTCTTAACAGAGTGACTTAGGCTCCTGTGGCATTTAGCTGTAAAGACTACATATTTGAGTGGAGTGGATTGATAGTATTCTGTTGTGTAATATGAGTACCTGCCTAGCGGCAACAAATTCTTTCTCCTAAACAAATTTTTTTTTTTAGAGAAACGTATATTTGATTACAGTACAGTTTAAAATAGGATGCTGGAATTTGGTGGTGTTTCTGGTCTTCATTTGAGTATCATGAAAAATTTTTCTTGTTAGTTTTCATTATTATAAAATGGTATGCTTCTGAATGCTTCCATGCTGTTGTTTTAATTGAGATTAATTTGATGATTATATATTGCAGAAGTTGGTTGATTTTTCTAGGATCTCTCTATCTGACATAATACTCACTTATCAAAAGTCTTTGGTGATTATGGAAGGATATAGCTAATAAATACTGTTCCAAAGTAGAATTTTTTTAATCAGCTGTAACTAGTGAAAATATAATATATGGTCCACACATAAATATTAAGCAATTTAAATGATCCTAAAGGTCCATATCGTCTTTAAAAAAGTGCATTTCAAAAATCTTATGGTGGCTGTTCTATTACCTTCTTAAAAACACAGGTTTATTTCACTTGACCACATATGAATATATATTTTTTATTTAGAGGTAAATGTTACATTAAGGTCATATGGCAAGATTAGCATATGATATTATACAGTCCTCTTAGTTTTTCATCCTTTATTAACAGTCATCTTTGGCTCTATTTCTCCTCTAATTGGAACATCATCTAGCCTTGGCAGTTGAACTATTCAATAGAACGATTAAATTTTTCTGACTGCTCTGAGCTGAATTGACCTGTTTTGACCTGTTTGTCACTGATCGTAACCTGACAGGTGCTAGCAGCCTGCAACGATTATGGCTTTTTGAGATGAATCTGACGCCGTGTTCTTTTGCTACAGCTCGTCGCACGAGGAGACTGGGGCTTCTCACACTCTGTACGGCCATGGAGTTTGCAAATGGCCAGGCTGTGAAAGCATTTGTGAAGATTTTGGACAGTTTTTAAAGTAGGTTTCTTACCTTTTTCAGGGAAGGGGGTGGATTATGTGGGAGTGTTAGGCGCATTGTTGTAAATAAACAAGACAAAGCTGAAAGGAGGAAGTCAAAGTCCGTCATCAGGCACACTGCGCTTTCTGTGTGTTCCAACAAGTGCATGACCGCAGTCAGGCTTCGGTCTGAGTTCGGAAGTGAAGGTGACCTCGTCTTTACCTCTTCATTGAAATATTTTACAAATCATTCAATAGAGGTTTTTGAATGAACGGAAAATAGTAGCCCACAGTAATAGTGTCATTAATTATTAGGAGACATGTGCAGGCTTCACTTAAATTTCCAAGTTTTTAATAAAAAATTTAAGTAAAATTACTTGAGGAGTCATAGAATATATATAATTTCAAACAGACATATTTTACGGGTTTATTTTTTTTAATCACAAGCTTGCTATTCCTTACTTTAAATAATGATATTTAACATACATATATTTAACAATAAGAGCGATGACATGAAAGTTAAAAGAGGCTAAAATTTTAAGAAATACATCTATTTCATCTACATTGTTACTTGTTGCCCTCAGAATCAGAGTGTGTATTTGTATGGTAAATTACATGGCTTCTCTAGCTTAAAATCAAAATTTGGTGTACCCTTAACTTCTTCATACAGTGATAAATATTTTTTTTTAATTTTAAGAGGTTCCTTTGCAAATGAGAATATCCATCTTTTATGAAGCATTTTCCATGCACAATTCTGCTATACAAGAGATCTAAACAGAGAGCTACAGATAGGTTTATGGAGATGAGTAACTTCACAGGCTGAGACTCTTATGTTGTCATGGAGCAGCTAACAGGGTGAATGAACTGTTTCATGCTTCATCAACAATTAAGTTAATTAGCTCATTTGAAATTGCACTGCTTTGTTGCCAGGATGTTGGCAGAAACATCAAAAAGATGTGTTTACAAATGGTAGACTACAGGGTATAGAGTGAAAGCACCTTAACAACAAGGCGCAAGTACTTGGCACCATGATAACTTTATAACGGAATTACAGTAAGACTTCCACAAGGGTTTTTTTCAACTTTTTTCCATTTCTGACCAATGAAAAGAAAATCTGCTTCCTATATTACTTTGGCATTTGTAAACGTCCTTAAATAAAAATTTGCACTCCTGTTATACCAGAACAGTAGTGAGCTACCATTTTGTTGGGTATGAAAACTGATTCAACTGTTCTAGGCAAAGAGGGCACTTCAAATGTTAGGTAACGTTGCTCACGTTTTCCTCTCTAAGAAAATAGCATTTGTTAAAACAAAGACAAAATATAGGGACATTAATTTTTAACAGCTAACTTCGTATTTCTTCATTCGAATATACTCATCCTTATCAAAATGTTATGTTATTCCTTATCATTAAGATTCTTAAGAGGACTATTGCTACTATTTCTTAAATATGGCCATTTAAGCCATAGAACTTGCCCAGTCACCATTTTATTGCTCCAGGTTGTTCTCACTGACAAAATTAAGAGTAAGTTTTTAAGAAAATATACATATTTTTTCCTTCAGTGTCATTTCCTTTATAGCACATGGAAAGGAACACACTTATTCATCTCAAATATTTATATATAGGTATTTATTACTAACAAGCAGATGAATATGAACCCTCATTTTACCCTCCATGGTTCTTTTTCGCATTCATGCTAGTATGTTTTAGAAACTAAGAGAAACTATAGGGGGACGGGGGTAAAAAAAAAAAAAAGAAAGAAAGAAAGAAATTACAATTAAAAAAGCATTTCCTTTCAATTAAATACCAACTTTGGTTCCAAAGGCTATTTTTCCAACCCATTAACTTCATAGAGATGACAGAACAAATGACAGTAGATTGTAAGGTCTTTTTTTTAGTCCATTTTTGTTATGATATGCTTTAGATTCTCTTACTCAGAAATCTGTGATAAATTCTGTTAATAGAGGTACTGCCCGTGTCCGGTGCTGCAAAAAAGTATGTATTAGATACATTTCTGTGCCGGTATTGTCTTCTTTCTTAACGTGTGTGGGAAATTTAAGAAGACATAATATATTTTATTAAGTTAATCAAGTTCAGTTATTCAGAAAAAAGTTTAGTGTCTGTGTGGAAAGTGAAATGAGGAAGTCACCACCACTAATATGAATTTTCTTGGAAATAAGATTTTGCTTTTCTTTTGTAATACTGGGGAGAATTGAGTCCTAGGGGAAAAGCATGTCAGACAAGTCAAAGAGCTGTGAAAGGTTTTTAGCTCCCAGTTTTCTTGTTTACTCTTCTCCAGAAACTTTATATCCAGTGTTTATTATAAAACGTTTTCTGAGAACATATTGTTGGGGCATTTTTATTTCTGAAATGCACTCAAAATAAATGTATAGCTTGAGCTTTACTCTGGTATCAGACAACGTATCCGTCGGTTTGAAATAAAAGGAATCCATTCGTTATTACTATTAGCCTACGTACGTTAAATAACAAAGGATAGTAGAAAATACATTAAGAGTCCCAAATCCCCCTTTTCACATCATATCCCCAAATAAACTAGTAGAATCCCTTTGTTTTTGCCCAGCACCAAATGAATAGCCAGCAGAGGACAGTTGCTTATGTATAACGTACATATGGTTCGTCTTACGTATATTCTGTAATACTCAATGACGTATTCTTTTCCTCCGAATGAAGGCTAAGTTAGAAACTGTTATTTGTAGCAGCAAAGATAAAGGCAAGAAAAATAAAATATAAGGAACAAAGTCCAGGCTAAAAAGGTATTTAGGAAGATTTTTGAATTTTACTGTAGGTGTTGACAGAAACTAACCATTTTTCTGACCACTAATTGAGGACCTCACTAGATCACTAAAAGCATTTAATACTACTTCTTCATTACTGTCTTATAAATGCCAAAGTGTAATAA